AGAATATTTTTTAAAGGATTTTTGGTCTATCAGACGTGGAATTTTCAAGAATATTTTTCAAAGGATATTTAGTGGATGTTTGGTATATCAGACGTGAAATTTTAATGAATATTTTTCAAAGAACATTTAGTGAATTTTTAAAGAATATTTTTCAGAGAATCTTTATTGAATTTTTAAAGAATATTTTTCAAAGGATCTTTTGTCCACAAGACGTGGATTATTAAATAATATTTTTCAAAGATATTTAGTCTACCAGACGTGGATTATTAAATAATATTTTTCAAAGATATTTAGTCTACCAGACGTGTATTATTAAATAATATTTTTCAAAGATATTTAGTCTACCAGACGTGGATTATTAAATAATATTTTTCAAAGATATTTAGTCTACCAGACGTGGATTATTAAATAATATTTTTTAAGGACGTGGATTATTAAATAATATTTTTTAAGGACGTGGATTAGTAAATAATATTTTTTATGGACGTGGATTATTAAATAATATTTTTTAAGGACGTGGATTATTAAATAATATTTTTTAAGGACGTGAATTATTAAGTAATATTTTTTAAGGACGTGGATTATTAAATAATATTTTTTAAGGACGTGGATTATTAAATAATAATTTTTAAGGACGTGGATTATTAAATAATATTTTTTAAGGACGTGGATTGTTAAATAATATTTTTTAAGGACGTGGATTATTAAATAATATTTTTTAAGGACGTGGATTATTAAATAATATTTTTTAAGGACGTGGATTATTAAATAATATTTTTTAAGGACGTGGATTATTAAATAATATTTTTTAAGAACTTTTAGTCTACCAGACGTGGATTATTAAATAATATTTTTTAAGGACGTGGATTATTAAATAATATTTTTTAAGAACTTTTAGTCTACCAGACGTGGATTATTAAATAATAGTTTTTAAGGACGTGGATTATTAAATAATATTTTTTAAGAACTTTTAGTCTACCAGACGTGGATTATTAAATAATAGTTTTTAAGGACGTGGATTATTAAATAATATTTTTTAAGGACGTGGATTATCAAAAATAATATTTTTTAAGAACTTTTAGTCTACCAGACGTGGGTTATTAAATAATAGTTTTTAAGGACGTGGATTATTAAATAATATTTTTTAAGGACGTGGATTATTAAATAATAGTTTTTAAGGACGTGGATTATTAAATAATATTTTTTAAGGACGTGGATTATTAAATAATATTTTTTAAGAACTTTTAGTCTACCAGACGTGGATTATTAAATAATAGTTTTTAAGGACGTGAATTATTAAGTAATATTTTTTAAGGACGTGGATTATTAAATAATATTTTTTAAGGACGTGGATTATTAAATAATATTTTTTAAGGACGTGGATTATTAAATAATATTTTTTAAGGACGTGAATTATTAAGTAATATTTTTTAAGGACGTGGATTATTAAATAATATTTTTAAGGACGTGGATTATTAAATAATATTTTTTAAGGACGTGGATTATTAAATAATATTTTTTAAGGACGTGGATTATTAAATAATATTTTTTAAGGACGTGGATTATTAAATAATATTTTTTAAGGACGTGGATTATTAAATAATATTTTTTAAGGACGTGGATTATTAAATAATATTTTTAAGGACGTGAATTATTAAGTAATATTTTTTAAGGACGTGGATTATTAAATAACATTTTTTAAGGACGTGGATTATTAAATAATATTTTTAAGGACGTGGATTATTAAATAATATTTTTTAAGGACGTGGATTATTAAATAATATTTTTTAAGGACGTGGATTATTAAATAATATTTTTTAAGGACGTGGATTATTTAATAATATTTTTTAAGGACATGGATTATTAAATAATAGTTTTTAAGGACGTGGATTATTAAATAATATTTTTTAAGGACGTGGATTATTAAATAATAGTTTTTAAGGACGTGGATTGTTAAATAATATTTTTTAAGGACGTGGATTATTAAATAATATTTTTTAAGGACGTGGATTATTAAATAATATTTTTTAAGGACGTGGATTATTAAATAATATTTTTTAAGGACGTAGATTATTAATAATATTTTTTAAGGACGTGGATTATTAAATAATATTTTTTAAGGACGTGGATTATTAAATAATATTTTTTAAGGACGTGGATTATTAAATAATATTTTTTAAGGACGTGGATTATTAAATAATATTTTTTAAGGACGTGGATTATTAAATAATATTTTTTAAGGACGTGGATTATTAAATAATATTTTTTAAGGACGTGGATTATTAAATAATATTTTTTAAGGACGTGGATTATTAAATAATATTTTTTAAGGACGTGGATTATTAAATAATATTTTTTAAGGACGTGGATTATTAAATAATATTTTTTAAGGACGTGGATTATTAAATAATATTTTTTAAGGACGTGGATTATTAAATAATATTTTTTAAGGACGTGGATTATTAAATAATATTTTTTAAGGACGTGGATTATTAAATAATATTTTTTAAGGACGTGGATTATTAAATAATATTTTTTAAGGACGTGGATTATTAAATAATATTTTTTAAGGACGTGGATTATTAAATAATATTTTTTAAGGACGTGGATTATTAAATAATATTTTTTAAGGACGTGGATTATTAATATTTTTTAAGGACGTGGATTATTAAATAATATTTTTTAAGGACGTGGATTATTAAATAATATTTTTTAAGGACGTGGATTATTAAATAATATTTTTTAAGGACGTGGATTATTAAATAATATTTTTTAAGGACGTGGATTATTAAATAATATTTTTTAAGGACGTGGATTATTAAATAATATTTTTAAGGACGTGGATTATTAAATAATATTTTTAAGGACGTGGATTATTAAATAATATTTTTAAGGACGTGGATTATTAAATAATATTTTTTAAGGACGTGGATTATTAAATAATATTTTTTAAGGACGTGGATTATTAAATAATATTTTTTAAGGACGTGGATTATTAAATAATATTTTTTAAGGACGTGGATTATTAAATAATATTTTTTAAGGACGTGGATTATTAAATAATATTTTTTAAGGACGTGGATTATTAAATAATATTTTTTAAGGACGTGGATTATTAAATAATATTTTTTAAGGACGTGGATTATTAAATAATATTTTTTAAGGACGTGGATTATTAAATAATATTTTTTAAGGACGTGGATTATTAAATAATATTTTTTAAGGACGTGGATTATTAAATAATATTTTTTAAGGACGTGGATTATTAAATAATATTTTTTAAGGACGTGGATTATTAAATAATATTTTTTAAGGACGTGGATTATTAAATAATATTTTTAAGGACGTGGATTATTAAATAATATTTTTTAAGGACGTGGATTATTAAATAATATTTTTTAAGGACGTGGATTATTAAATAATATTTTTTAAGGACGTGGATTATTAAATAATATTTTTTAAGGACGTGGATTATTAAATAATATTTTTTAAGGACGTGGATTATTAAATAATATTTTTTAAGGACGTGGATTATTAAATAATATTTTTTAAGGACGTGGATTATTAAATAATATTTTTAAGGACGTGGATTATTAAATAATATTTTTTAAGGACGTGGATTATTAAATAATATTTTTTAAGGACGTGGATTATTAAATAATATTTTTTAAGGACGTGGATTATTAAATAATATTTTTTAAGGACGTGGATTATTAAATAATATTTTTTAAGGACGTGGATTATTAAATAATATTTTTTAAGGACGTGGATTATTAAATAATATTTTTTAAGGACGTGGATTATTAAATAATATTTTTTAAGGACGTGGATTATTAAATAATATTTTTTAAGGACGTGGATTATTAAATAATATTTTTAAGGACGTGGATTATTAAATAATATTTTTTAAGGACGTGGATTATTAAATAATATTTTTTAAGGACGTGGATTATTAAATAATATTTTTTAAGGACGTGGATTATTAAATAATATTTTTTAAGGACGTGGATTATTAAATAATATTTTTTAAGGACGTGGATTATTAAATAATATTTTTTAAGGACGTGGATTATTAAATAATATTTTTTAAGGACGTGGATTATTAAATAATATTTTTTAAGGACGTGGATTATTAAATAATATTTTTTAAGGACGTGGATTATTAAATAATATTTTTTAACGAGATAGACCCATAGTTACTTTTGAGGATATTCGTAGAATCACTTCCTGAGTCGATTTATGCATGTATGCCATTCGTCCGTCTGTCCATGTAAACGAGATAGACCCATAGTTATTTTTGAGGATATTCGTAGAATCACTTCCTGAGTCGATTTATGCATGTATGCCATTCGTCCGCCTGTCCATGTATTTTTGTGAACAAAATGCAGGTTGCATTTATTATCCGATTGAGATTAAATTTTCCAAACAATATATGTTTGGCCCAAGGACGAACTCTATTGAAATTTGTGATAATCGGATCAGATTTGGATATAGCTCCCATATACTATATCTTCAACCGATTTCAGGTTAATTGTGCTCCAAATGACCAATATAAGTCCAAATGACAAACATTTTCTCTCCTCGTTCCTTCTAAAATTCCTTTGTTAAGGGAGCTCTACTAAATGTGTATAGTGGTGTAGGGTCATATAGTCGGCAACGCCCGACTTTTGACTTTTCCTTACAGATTTACATATATGAATTCCTGGTGTTTAGGTAAGATGGTAGTAGTTATTTTGAGTAGTTACGCTCCCGTTTGAAGGTATATTTTAACGATATTTTGAAAAAAGTAGAAAAAATTTATCCTTGGTGACTGCTTGAGGGTTAAAGTGATAAAAAACCCGTGTAAAGTAAAATTTAAAAATAATAAGTATTCCGAAAATTTCAAAAAAAAAAAAAAAAAAATCTGGTGGAGAGGGAAATTTTAACTTTGAAAACAACGATAGACGTGTCAGCTTTCATAATCTACGGAGTGTTTACCGTAATTATTTTTTGTGTGCAAATTTTTTATATGAAAACAATTAACAAATTTTATTTAACTTCATTAAAAAAATACAAAGTAATTTTAATACACACAGAATTTTTAAATACATAATTATCTAAAGGACTTGCTATATAGGCAACTTAAATTAAATAATTTCATTTAAAAAATAAAAGGAATTTTAAAATTAAAATCCCCACTACTTTGATCTGCTAATGAATTTAATCCAGAAGCCGTCTTTGGGGGACAACTGAAAACCGGCAGGATTTAATTTCATGGGAATGCAACTCTTTTTGGCGGGTTCAAATTTGAAGTCTCTCAATAAATAGTAAATCAAGACTTTGGTTTCCAACAAGGCAAAGCGGGAACCTGAAATAAGCAATAAATTTTATTTAATTAAATTTCCATTTTTTCATTCAAAAATCAATCGTCTTACCAATACAATTACGGGGTCCCACACCAAACGGCATATAGGCAAAAGGATGGATTTTATCCTTGTTCTCTTCACTAAATCTCTCCGGATCGAATTTTTCGGGATTTTCAAAATATTTCGGATCATGATGGAAGCCCACCACGGGAATCCACAGGGAATCACCTTTCTTCAATTCCAGTTTTGTACCATCATCCAAATCATAGGTGACATCTTTGTTGCAAACTCGATCAATGGCAATGGCACCGGGCCATTTGCGCAAACACTCCTGCACCACCATGTCCATGTAACGCATACCCATTAAAGCCTCATAGCTTAGTTGTTTACCCTCCAGTTGTTCTTCAACCTCCTGAATTTCTTCATAGAGTTTTTCCTGTACCTCGGGATTTTCCATTAACTCATGTGAGGTGAGACAGGTGAGGGCGGCCGAGGTTTCAAAGCCGGCAAAGAAGAATAGGAAACATTGGCCCACAATATCGACATCACTCCATTCACGATTTGAAGCTTTGTCCTGGCCCTTTAACATGCCACGTGACTCCATCAACATATTAATCATATCGGGACGTACAATGTTATGTTCCTGGCGATATTTCATGGCATCCAACACCAAACGCATAAAGTAATCGGTGTCCTTTTTGTCAAATAATTCCATATCCAGGAGCTGGAAAGAATTATAAAATGAATAAAAATTACTTTCGAAATTTTGGCTTTTTTAAAAATATTTTTTTATGTTTTAAAACTATTTCTTCAATATATATGTATAAGTGTGGATTTTTTAAAAATATTTTTTCAAGCTTTACTTATAAGCGTGGATTTTTTAAAAATATTTTTTCAAGCTTTACTCATAAGCGTGGATTTTTTAAAAACATATTTTCAAGCTTTACTTATAAGTGTGGATTTTTTAAAAATATTTTTTCAAGCTTTACTTATAAGCGTGGATTTTTTAAAAATATTTTTTCAAGCTTTACTCATAAGCGTGGATTTTTTAAAAATATATCTTCAAGCTTAACTTATAAGCGTGGATTTTTTAAAAATATATTTTCAAGCTTTACTCATAAGCGTGGATTTTTTAAAAACATTTTTTTTCAAGCTTTGCTTATAAGCGTGGATTTTTTAAAAATATTTTTTCAAGCTTTACTTACAAGCGTGGATTTTTTAAAAATATTTTTTCAAGCTTTACTTATAAGTGTGGATTTTTTAAAAACTTTTTTTCAAGCTTTACTTATAAGTGTGGATTTTTTAAAACTTTTTTTTCAAGCTTTGCTTATAAGCGTGGATTTTTTAAAATATTTTTTCAAACTTTACTTATAAGCGTGGATTTTTTAAAAATATTTTTTCAAACTTTACTTACAAGCGTGGATTTTTTAAAAATATTTTTTCAAGCTTTACTTATAAGCGTGGATTTTTTAAAAATATTTTCCAAGCTTTACTTATAAGCATGGATTTTTTAAAAATATTTTTTCAAGTTTTACTTATAAGCGTGAATTTTTAAAAAATATTTTTTTAAGCTTTACTTATAAGAGTGGATGTTTTAAAAATATTTTTTAAAGCTTTACTTATAAGCGTGGATTTTTTAAAAATATTTTTTCAAACTTTACTTATAAGCGTGGATTTTTTAAAAATATTGTTTCAAACTTTACTTATAAGCGTAGATTTTTTAAAAATATTTTTTCAAACTTTACTTATAAGTGTAGATTTTTTAAAAATATTTTTTCAAACTTTACTTATAAGCGTGGATTTTTTAAAAATATTTTTTCAAACTTTACTTATAAGCGTGCATTTTTTAAAAATATTATTTCAAGCTTTACTTATAAGCGTGCATTTTTTAAAAATATTTTTTCAAGCTTTACTTATAAGCGTGCATTTTTTAAAAATATTTTTTCAAGCTTTACTTATAAGCGTGCATTTTTTAAAAATATTATTTCAAGCTTTACTTATAAGCGTGCATTTTTTAAAAATATTATTTCAAGCTTTACTTATAAGCGTGCATTTTTTAAAAATATTATTTCAAGCTTTACTTATAAGCGTGCATTTTTTAAAAATATTTTTTCAAGCTTTACTTATAAGCATGGATTTTTTAAAAATATTTTTTCAAGCTTTACTTATTAATCTCGAATATTTTTGCCCTACACCACATAGTGATAAGGTATTATATCTTTGTGGATTTTTTAAAAATTTTTTTAACTCTCTACTTATTGGCGTGGATTTAAAAAAAAAAATATATTGAATTTTTTTAAGAATGGGTCTGAGTCACAATTTGTATTACTTTCGCCGATATTGAAGATAATTGAACGCAAAATAATCTGATGCAATCTAACCAATTTATTTCATTGACATACCCAGATTATTTTGGGTAGTTATGTCCTCTTAAAAATGATTAGAAAATTTATGGGGTTTTTCAAACACTTGTTCTGTTTCGAGTATATCTCTTGACAACAAATATCAGTAAAATGATAAGAGGTGGTTCCTTAAAAAAACCAAAATAATGCCAATGATTATTATTATAATCAGTTCAATCAAAAAATCGATATGGGGTTTCCACAGGGTACTCAATTATTAATAATTTGGGGGCGTTTCGAAAAATGAACACCATTCACACAATGCATGTACACAATTCGTGCAATGAATTAAATATTCTTTTTGCGTCCAATACCAAGATGATATGAATATTTTTGTCAATATTAAAATACTCTCTTCTGCCAGTAGCCCCTATTTCTAGATTTATACACTAACCCAGTCATTAAATGACCGATATTCATAGAAAGTATGTACACTGTTCATACATTGTATGAAAAATATGCATGAAATGCACAATTTTCTCTCTTTCGATTTTTTACTCAATATTTTCGATTTTTTCTAATTTTATAGACTAACCCAGTCATCAAATGACCGATATTCATGGAAAGTATGTACACTGTTCAAACAATTTATGAAAATTATGAATGGAATGCACAATTTCCACTCCTTTGGTTTTTTCTCAATTTTTTTCGATTTTCGAATATTTTTCTTGAGAGAATCCACCTCTTCTAAGTTTTTTAAAAAAATAATTCATTAAATGGACCCAGTTTATATAATACAGGGTCAGTATTCATACAATATATGAGCACCATTCATGCAATGAATAAAGATTTACAAACATATGCTTACCTTCATAATCTTCTTGAAATTGGCATACATCAGGAATTTCAAATTCTGCAAAAATGTAAAGGTGGTAACTTTTTTGCCCATCTTATAGAATTCATTATCCATTTCCTTATACGAATCCACTTGCAGGCCAAATGCAGTCGAGGCAATAATATCATTGGTAAAGCGGGTTATGAAATCTTTCACCTCCAATTCCAAACCTTCGGCGGTGAAAACGCTCGATTGTTTCTTAACATGTGCCAACGTATGCTGCGCCACTTCGTTCATCAGCTGGAACATGGAACGCATTTTACTGCCGGTAAAAGCAGGACTCAATGTGCTGCGCATATCTTTCCATTTCGAATCTTTCATCATGAAAAGTGAAGCAGCAAACAAATTTTTACCATCCTCATCGCCGAAAATCGAACGATGATTTACGAAATGATCGAAATCTTTGATGGCAATTTGCTTGACCAAATCGGGGTCACGCACCAGGAACATGGGCTGGCGTTGATCGAAAATGCCATAGATTCTGAAAGTAAAAAATATAATCATATTAAATACATAATAATAAAATAATAATAATAAATATAAGACAAGTAAAAAAGCTGCAAGTACGGCCCTGAATACCCTCCACAATTTAGAAAGAATTTGGCAATTTTCAAAATAAATAAAATCCGTTAAAAATTCTGTTAAAATCATAAAAATACCAAATGTAGCCGTTATATGAGGGTCTATACGACTACATGGACCTGCATAGGCAACTTCTGTCATAAGCTATTACAGTATTCAAATGCGAAACTTGAAAAAATCGGTAAATAATGTTGCTAAAATCATCAAAATACCGAATATAAGGAGGTACTATTATATGGCGGCTATGCTAAAACGTGGACCTGTAGACACAATTTTTTGTCGTAGGCTGTAGTATTCATTACGAACTTCAAATACCAAATTTGAAACATTTCCGGTAAATAATGTCGCTAAAATCGTCAAAATACCGAATATCGGGAGGTACCGTTATATGAGGGCTGCACGAAGATGTGGACCTCCTCACACAATTTTCTGTCATAGGCTTTAGTATCCATTACGAACTTCAAATACCAAATTTGAAACAATTCCGGTAAATAATGTTGCTAAAATCATCAAATAACCGAATATCGGGAGATACCGTTATATGGGGGCTATACGAAGACATAGACCTACACAGACAATTTTCTGTCATAGCTTGTGGTATCAATTGCGAACCTCAAATACCAAATTTGAAACACTTCGGGTGAATAATGTCGCTAAAATCATCAAAATACCGATTACCGGGATGGGGGCTATACGAAGACATGGATTTGCACAGACAATTTTCTGTCATAGGCTGTGGTATCCGTTGCTAATTTTAAATAATGTCGCTAAAATCATCAAAACTTCGAATATCGGGAGGTACCGTTATATGGGGAAGACGTGGATCTGCACAGCAAATTTTCTGTCTTAGGCTGTAGTATCCATTATAAACTTCAAATACCGAATTTAAAAAAATTCCTGTGAATAATGTCGCTAAAATCTTTAAAATAGCGAATATCGAGAGGTACCGTTATATGGGGGCTATACGAAGACGTGTCTCATTTTCAATACCAAAAGTCCTGCAGACATAATATACATTTGAGTAAAATTTTATTAACTTAATTAATTTTAATTTTATGCTGATCAGGAATATATATACTTTGTAGGATCTAAAATGTATATTTCGAGGTGTTACAGACGGAATGGCAAACTTAATATACCCTCCATACTATGGTGGAGGGTACAAAAATAGCAAAAAGCCAATTTTCTATTTTTTTTTCTCATTTTCAAAATTAGGGGTCATTTTGCTGTATTTAAAAAAAGTTAATTTTGTTATACATTTGGTTTTAGGCATTTGGAAAACTTGTCTGTGAATTGCCCATATATTTATGAGTGTAAAGAACATTTCCTTTCTCTCTTTCAACGAGAGAACGAAACGCGTTGTAAACAAATAATATTTATATTACTTTGTTTTTATACCCTACACCACAAGGTGGTCAGGGTATTATGTCTTTGTGCATTTGTTTGTAACAGGCAGAAGGAAACGGGATAGTCCCATAGTTCCTTTTGATGATCTGCATAGAATCACATTCTGAGTCGATTTATGCATGTCCGTCCGTCCGTCCGTCCGTCCGTCCGTCCGTCCGTCTGTCCATGTATTTTTGTAAACAAAGTACAGGTCGCATTTATTGCCCGATCCAGATGAAATTTTGCAAAGGTCTTTTGTTTGGCCTAAGGACGAACCCTATTGAAATTGGAGATAATCGGTCAAAATTTGGATATAGCTCCCATATATATCTTCGTCCGATTTGACTTTTATTGTGCACCAAACGTGTAATATCAGCCCGAATTGTATGGAATTTTGCACATACACCCATATTAGGCCTGAAAATATGTATGCCAAATTTGATCGAAATCGGTTCAGATATAGCTATAGCTCCCATATACATTGTTCATCCGATTTGTTATTTTTGTCCACCGCCACCGTAATATGCACTATGCAACAACAATATTTGGGGAAATATATCAAATACAGCTCAGAAATACATTTGCTAACTTTTATCGAGATCGGTTCAGATTTGGATATAGCTCCCATATATAACATCGTCCGATTTACCTTTTATTGTGCACCAAACGTCTAATATTTGTCCAAATGGGATGGAATTTGGCACTTACGACCGAATTGAGTCTAGTAGCTAGTATGTCAAATTTGGTTCAGATCGGTTCAGATATAGTTATAGCTTCCATATATATTATTCATCCGATTTGTTATATTTGGTACCTACAACCGTAATATGCACTCTGTAACAACGATATTCAGGGAAATATATCAAATACAGCTCAGAAATATCTTTGCCAAAGTTTATCGAGATCGGTTCAGATTTGGATATAACTCCCATATATATCTTTATCCGATTTCAAATTAATTGTGCACCAAATGGGCAATACAATTCCGAATTTAGTCCTTTGAACTTTAAATTATAATTATAATCATAGCGTGTATGATTGAATTCTCCCATAGAAACTTTTAATTGTTATGTGGAGCTCTACTTAATTAGCAAAGTGGTGTAGGGTATCATAAAGTCGGCGCCGCCCGACTTTAAGACTTTCTTTACTGGTTTTTTTTTTTGCTGCGTCTATTTCCCTCGACCTTGCCCCTGAATATGAGTGTGAGTAATTAATTTTCAACTAAGTATTGAATTATTATTATTCAAACAGCCGTTGAACTTGTAGAATCGTCAACCCGTAATAGATGCTGTGTGCCGGTTCACGTTTATTAACCGCAATTATTTTATTATTATTTTTTTATAATAACAAACAACACAAGCAAATTTATTAATTATAATAAGCATTTCAAAAATTAAAAATTTTAAAATATGTCAACTGTAACAGAAACAGCAAATGAACCCCAAATAAAATTCCATAGTTATTGGCAAGTAGTTATTAAAGAAATAGAAAAACCCCTGATTTTTTGGTGGAAACTCTTTAAAAAAAATCAAAAATCCTGGAAGTTTAACCAGGAAATCCTTAATATAATTTAAAGACCCTAAATTTCTTTTTATTAAAAACTAGCTGACCCTGTCCGCGTTGCCGGCCAGTAGTTTTAGTCTATTATGCATATTTGTCAAAGCATAGTTATTCAAAGATATGAATGTTATAAATGTTCACGTACTGGTCGATTAGTTTTTAATTTTTAGTCAAATGAGCAGTAATTTGGAATTTACTGTACTTTGTGCACCTCATAATTGAGGGCTAATAGATTTAAGAATAGCCAAAGTTAATTACTTTTTTAAACCCATTAGCACCTCAGATTGTGCATTAGAGTCCTCATAAGTCCCCCTAACCATGTCGGTCTGTTTGTCCGCCAAAAGGTGGACTTGAGGCGGTACTATTACATGGAGAAAATTCTAAAATTTGTAGATATGTTGAAATTTTTGTGTAAGATTTTCACCCCCAAATACACATTTTTAGCCGAATCCTTTCAAATAAGGTAAAATGCGAAACATCGATGACAAATAGAGGCCAAATCGAAAATATAGCAGAACAACATAGCATGTCAAACTGAAAAAAATCACGTGATTTAAATAAGTAAAAATAGTTTTATCCACCTCATAATTGAGGTCAGACTGATTTCAGAATAGTCAAATATAATTACTATTTCACACCCATTACCGTAATATGGGAACTAATTTTTTTTGTCATTTAAATTGTAAATTGGAGACCCCATATAGTCCATATTTTTCATCATAGTATAATTCAATGGCGATTCAACAAATATTCGGTCCCGTGCTACTTTCTTATATTTGTAATTTGTTCATGTTTTCACAATTTATTTCATATAGATGTATATTCCAAATCTACGTTCCCAACCAATATTCTCTGGGGGGTTACAAATTTAATGGAATATAAATTTTTCTTTTCTGACCACACATTAGATGTGAAAGTGGACTTGGGGATACTCCAATGTAGGGACTTTACATGAATAAATTTCTATGTATCTTAAATGTTCAGGAAGAATTTTTGGAAGGATAGCAATCCTTTTCTTACTAAAAGTCCCATTCGCTCTACTATTTTGCACCCTTTATATTTGGTATTTTACTGATTGTACTCCCAAAAATTTTTGCATTTTGAGCTCTCATTGGACGGATTATTGACACATGAAAGAAGTAGGGTCACACTTTGAAATAAGCCCCATTAGTCTTTTTCGGCCATTTTTGTTTGATTAAATGTCTGCGCATCTTCCAGCTGAATCACGATGTAGGCCCTGGAGTTGAAAGGTAGATGTCAGTTACCATCGTATTTCGCACTTATTTCATTTTTTTAGTGAAAAATTGTATATAGTGAAAAATTGTATATAGTGAAAAATTATTCTTTATTTTGTTCACAAAAAAACCACTGAATTCAATATGATAATACAAATTGAAAAAAAATTGACAAAAGAAGAATAACAAATTGAAAAAATCTTCAACTTGTTTGCTGATTTTTTACAGCAACTGTTTAAAGATCCTTACAAAGTTTGTCAATAGAATGTACTTTTATTTTAAAATTCAATTCCATTGAAAATTTTTTCGATATTTTCCCGTTTTGAGAATTGTTGCAATGAGATCTCTTTTTTGTGATTTATTTAACGATTTTGAAAAAGTAATTATCTTTTAACTTTGGTGTGACCGCATTAAATTATTTCAGTATCATCTATTCCGTTTCGCCACCACATAATTCGGTACTACACTTCCATGTAACCCGCCATCAATTTCAGTTCTCAAGAAATCAAGTCAATTAAATAAATTGGTATTAATATTCGAATTCAAAAATAAAATAAAAAAACACTACAAATGTACATTAGAAAAAAGTAAGTCAAAATGGAAAAAATCATGCAAAATAAAACATTACTATTGTACATTTCAAAAGTCAAAATGAAAATGTTAACATATCACATTTTTACCCGATTTTTTTGGATATTATCCTTTTCGGAAAAGAGAC